TTGGCGCAGCCCCCCGTTGAAGGTGTCCCGACAGGGATGTCAAGACAGCTACGGCAGAACTTCCAGGGCGACTGTTGGCTTTCTTGACCTCGCCAACCAAGGCTTCTGCCACGACGACAACTTCAACCCCCCACACTCCTTTCGGTCGAAACCCCTTCGCCAGGCAGCCATCTCGTGCCCCCGATCTGCCCGCCATGTTCTTCGCCTCCGTCGCCAAGCTGCTCCTCGCAGCTGGCCTCTTCCAGTCCGCCCTCGCCCACAACATCCAGCTCCCCGCCCACGGCCGCGAGTGCTTCCACGAGTCTCTGCGTCGCGATGACAAGATGACCGTCACCTTCCAGGTCGGCGACCGCGAGTTTGGCAGCGCTGGCAACCTCGACATCAACTTCTGGGTACGCGCCACGTCCCCCATTGCGCCGGCCCGCCGTCGCGCTGCTTCCTTGCGATGGAAGATACGATCTAGCTGACCCACCCCCCTTTTGTTACAGATCCAGAACCCCAGGGGCCAGTACGAGACCCAGCAGAATGGCATCTCCAACGGCGACTACACTTTTGACGCGAAACACGACGGAAAGTACACCTACTGCTTCGGAAACGAGCACTGGGGTGCCCACACCAAGGAAGTCTCCTTCAACGTTCACGGCATTGTCTACGTCAGCGAATCCGATGTGCCCAGCGACCCGCTCGAGAAGGAAGGTATGTGCAAACACGGGAGAGAAAAAGCGGTTCAGTCTGGGACGTGTTGAAGCTGACCGTGTCTTTCAGTCCGCAAAATGTCCGAGCTCCTCGCCCAGGTCAAGGATGAGCAATCCTACATCGTCATCCGCGAACGCACGCACCGCAACACCGCCGAGAGCACCAACAGCCGTGTCAAGTGGTGGAACCTGTTCGTCATCACTCTTGTCGTGGGCGAGGCGGGTTTCCAGGTCTGGTGGTTGCGCAGGTTCTTCGAGGTGAAGAGGGTGGTGTAAATGTGAGCAGAAGTGGAGTTCTCGAAACAGGGTAGTCTTTTATCTCTACCCAACTGCTCCTCAATGGAGCTACGACGGCGTACGACTGGGCTGGGGGATTTGCATGCCATGAAAACGGCTGGGTCTGGGCCGAAATGCTTGGAAGGAGCGTGTATAACGGTTTCGATGCGCCATGGTCAACATCCGACTCTATTCACTTGCTGATGTCACGGGCGCCATGCCAACTCAGAATCTGTCATGCGTGATTGTTGTGCCTGGGTGATGCTTCTTGATTCTGTTATTTGAAGCTCACTGTTTCCAAGTAACATCCCCTTAACACTGCATTCCACTTGGTACCAGGTTTTCCGTAGAATTTCGGCAGAATAATGCCCAGCAATGACTGTTCTTTTTTATTGCACTGTATCTGACAAGGGTTGGCTTGCATGGGCTGAAGCTGCCACTTTGGCCTTGAAGATCGAGACTGCATTCGGTGCCAACGGGATGGTTCGATCACCAATCGCTAATCTGCGTCACAATGTTCGGCTTTAGCTTTTGTATCAAAGGTAATAGCAAAGTCTATTTGAAAAGTATGGTATATTAGTTTTGAATAAGCCATGATATACAAAGATGGTACAAGCATGTACAACATAGGGGTAATGCCCATCGCGCCCCCATCCCAAGTCATTACGCCATTACCTCTACTACAAACCTCGCATATTCGATCAAGCGGAAGTAGATCCCTCTGCTTCGACACCTGCAACACCACTCTTCACCTCAAGTCCCGATCCATCCTCCTTAATAACCACTTCGGCAGTCTCGCCCATCTTCAGCTCGCCCCTGATGATGCGATCTGCAAGCCCGTTGCCGATCTCGTTGGTGATGAGCCTGTTCAGCGGACGAGCACCAAAGCGTGGGTCGTAGCCTCGCTCGGCGAGCCAGTCCCGCACGTCGGGAGACACATTGAGAGTGATCCTCCGATCATCGAGGCGAGCTTGTAGCTCGCGCAGGCGGATGTCGACAATATCTCGAAGGGCCATCTTTGCGAGCCGCTTGAAAACGATGAAGGAGTCTATACGATTGAGGAACTCGGGCGGATAGGCGCTGGCCACAACGTCCATGACGGCTTTGCGCACGTCGGGGCTCACGTCGCCGTCTCCTGTTTCGGTATAGGGGTGAGAGGGGTTGGCTCCAACAAGAATATCCGCACCCAGGTTGGAGGTGAAGACGATGATGGTGTTTCGGAAGTCGACCTTGTGACCCTGGGCGTCGGTGAGATAGCCCTCGTCCAAAACTTGGAGCAGGAGAGCTGAGATATCGCGATGGGCCTTCTCAAACTCGTCGAAGAGCAAGACGGCGTAGGGTTTGCGACGAACAGCCTCAGTCAACTGACCAGCGTCTTCGTAGCCAACATAGCCAGATGGAGCACCAATCAGACGGGAGATGGTATGCTTTTCCTGGAATTCGGACATGTCGAAGCGAACGACTGCCGACTCTGTCGAGAACAAGAAGCCCGCGAGTTTCTTGCAAAGCTCCGTCTTGCCCACACCTGTTGGGCCCAGGAAGAAGAAGCTGGCTAGGGGCCGATTATCGCCACTGAGACCCGCTCGTTGAAGACGTACAGCATTCGACACCGCCTTGATGGCCTCGTCCTGGCCACGGACTGACGCCTGGAGGGCATCCTCCATGTGGACCAGCTTCTGAATATGGCCAGAAGTGAGCTTCGAGACGGGGATCCCTGTGATGCGGGACACCACAGCAGCAATGTCGTCTGCGGTAACCGAGTCGTGAATGAGGGAGCCATCCTGTTTGTCCTCTTCCTTGGGGATTTTCTGCTCCAGGAAGGGGATGACACTGTACCGCAGCTCACCAGCTCGACCAAAGTTACCCTCTCTCTGAGCAACGTCCAGTTCCACCTTTGCCTTGTCGAGCTCCTCCTGTGCGTTCTTGACGGCCTCAATCTCAGCACGCTCCTTTTCCCATCGGGTTGTCAGTCCCGATATCTCCTCCTGAAGTGCCTTGAGATCGGTCTCAAGCTTTTCGCGTCGCTCGCGGCTGGCGACATCCTTTTCTTTCCGTAGACTTTCCAACTCGATCTGGATCGTCATAATCTTCTGGTCCAAAGCCATGATGTCCTCGGGCTTTGATTCGTGTTGGAGCTTCAAATGACTTGCAGCTTCATCCATCAGATCGATGGCCTTGTCTGGCAAGAACCTGTCGGTGATGTAGCGGTTTGAGTAGGTGGCGGCAGCAACCAAGGCGCCATCAGTGATGCGCACACCATGGTGCACTTCGTACTTGTCCTTGATGCCACGCAAAATGCTAATGGTATCCTGGACACTGGGCTCATTGACCATGATGGGTTGGAAGCGCCTCGCAAGAGCGACATCCTTCTCAATCTGTCGATACTCGTCCAGCGTAGTCGCACCACAGCACTGGAGCTCCCCCCTTGCGAGTGCTGGCTTCAGCAGGTTGGAGGCATCAATAGAGCCTTCGGCCTTGCCGAGACCAAGGAGTGTGTGTAGCTCGTCGATGAAGAGGATGACTTCGCCCTCGGCCTTCTGGACCTCGTCGAGGACTTTCTTTAAACGTTCCTCAAAGTCACCCCGAAACTTGGCACCAGCAATTAAGGAGCCAAGATCTAACGAGATGACCCTTTTGTTCTTGATACTTTCAGGAACGTCACCCCGAACGATTCGCAAGGCAAGACCTTCGAGGATGGCAGTCTTGCCTGTGCCTGCGTTTCCGATGAGAACTGGATTGTTCTTAGTACGGCGCGAAAGAATCTGGATGGTTCGCTGGATTTCTGAGTCTCGCCCAATTACAGGATCCAGCTTGCCGTCTTTCGCTCTCTGGGTCAAATCGATACCAAATTGCTCTAATGCTGGCTTCTCAGGCTCGCCTCCACCCATATCCATGCGGTGAGTGCCACCTGGAGGATGCGGCCCGCGGCCTGATGCATATGCCCTGAAGGCGACAACAGGAAGGCGTTGAGCGCTATGGGTAGTGATGTCATTGAGGACAGCCCTTGACAGCAGTGGCCGAGATGATCTTGATAGTGGAGAAATGGTGAGCCCGAACCGCCGGGCGGATGTGATGAGTTGTCTTCGAGCCTGCATCGTGTCTGCGCAGACAAACGGTCAATCGACGAGAGATGATTGCGACTGAGAAGAGAGAAGAGTTCGCCGCGGCCCAAGCCAGCGCAAAGGAGTAACACGCGATAGATATCTTCACTGGCAGCTCCCTTCCTGATGTCACGCCAGAGCTCGAGCACCCCGGAGCAGTTTCTCGCACCTTCGCCCCGTAGCCCCACAACAGTCTGGCCTGGACCCAGAAAAGGCTCTTATCTTATCAGTCCAGAATCCCGGGCACCAGCCACAGCACCCCACTAAGTATGGCGGTGCGCGCCATGCCACACAGGGCTTAGCGCCAAAGGGCAGGTTTTCGTCTTCGCACACTTCGCCTAAGTGGCCCTCAAAAATTCGATTCGGCAAAACCGACCAGACTCACCTGCATCCACGACAACCTCGTCCCTTTCACCCCCCAACCCCTCGACGAAATCCCTCGGAAAGGACGACGCGATCCCCTCAAAATGTCGACCAAGGCGGAATCCACGACCAAGAAGTTCGGCAAGGGCACCCGGGAGGTCCCCGCCTCTTCCCAGAAGGCCTCCAAGTGGTACCCTGCCGACGATGAGCCCCAGGCTAAGAAGGTGAGTCCTCGATGACGGCAGAGATATCGCAGCGGGACAGCAACGGAGCATGCGGATGCGATCGGTCGGGCGAACGCGCAATGGATTTTGGGGGCAATATTGGGAGGGGAGAACCGGGCAATTCGCTTGAGTGGTTGCGCGCGCGAGGCGAGCACTGCAAAGGTCGAATATCACGTCGGCCCTTCCACCCTCCAAAGGCGACCAACTTCGGGCGCTGCTGCGCACACGCACGAGACCACACGCATCCGCCGCTCCCGAAGCCTCCCCTCCCAGCACACATGGCAGCATAGACGACTAACACGTTTTGCCCACAGGTCCGCAAGGCCGTCCGCCCCTGGACTCCCCGCCAGACCCTCGTGCCTGGCACCGTCCTCATCCTGCTCGCCGGCCGCTTCCGCGGCAAGCGTGTCGTTCTCCTGAAGACCCTCGACCAGGGTGTCCTCCTCGTCACCGGCCCCTTCAAGATCAACGGCGTCCCCCTCCGCAGGGTCAACTCCCGCTACGTCATTGCCACATCCGAGAAGGTTGACGTTTCCGGTGTCGACGAGAAGAAGCTCGAGGAGGTCTCCGCGCCCAAGTACTTCACCGCCGAGAAGGCTAAGGAGAAGGCCGGCGAGGAGGCTTTCTTCAAGCAGGGCGAGGCTCCCAAGGTAAGCCCGAACCAGTCGAAAATCGCGAGTCGGAAAATGGAAAAGAAATGCTCACAAATCGCCCACAGAAGAAGGAGATCAACAGCAGCCGCGCTGCCGACCAGAAGGCCATCGACAAGGCTCTCCTGGCCAACATCAAGAAGGTCGACCTGCTCGCCAGCTACCTGTCCAGCACCTTCAGCCTGCGAAAGGGCGACAAGCCCCACGAGATGAAGTGGTAAACGTGCCACATCATGACGAACAACGCGGATATCCGGCTTGGGAAGGGTGTTGTGTGGCTTCGTCTTAAGGGGTCGGCGGCTGATGAAGGCAGGCTAGAGCTTGTAGAGGGACAAACGAAGATCCGGGCTTTCAGGGCAGGGCTGGTTTTGCCAAAATGCATTTGAGAACTCGACGGCATCGGTCATTTGGCGTCTGTAATGAAGTTCTTCACAATCAACAACGAAGATAAAACACCCGGGCCCTCTGGTCGGTCGAATTGGCATTTTCAAAAAGCAAAGCAAACCAAAAGTTCCATGGTCCTCCTTTGAGGGTCAAGGGCATATGTTGGGCTCGGCGGGCTGGCTGCAAGTCGGCGGTCGGTCCACGATACCCAGAAGCACACAATGCGAAAGGGTTCTCGAAAGTTGGTTTCATTCTCTACGCTGCTTGCTTTGTGCAGCCCCTTGTTGATAGATAACCCCACGCCCTTGAGTGGAGGACCCGCTGCCTTACCCATGCTAGTTCTACATGACCTGATGACACCAACTTCGCCTGTCTCGCATCTGATGCTTGATAATTCAACGCTTACTCACGTCACAGCTTGCCAATCATATGCCCACGTCGCCCGCCGGTCTTGGGCAGTCAGGCTTCGCGATCCGCCCAGCTCTGAATCATGCCCGCCGGGGATGCCTCGTAGTGCTTCAGGCTAACCTTGCCTGTGGCCTCATCGAGATATGTGTTGGCTTGGACGAAGACCTTACGCGGCTGCTTGTTCTGCAGGACAACGTTCCGGAGCTTGGTGCCCCAGAAGTCCATGTCGACATTGGTCATCTCCTTGTAGAAGGCAGTGCCCGCCTCGACGTCGGCGGTTGCCTTGTAAATGTGGATCTTCTGGAGGTATTTGCCGACAGCTAGAGATATTGGGGTCAGTCTCGGGTGGTAGCCATCAAACGAAAAGAAATATCAAGGTAGGTAGCATACCGTCACGACCGGTAGTAAGAATCTTGGACCTGTCCAGCTTGATCTCCAAATCGGTCAGGTCGTCCTTCTTGTAATCCAGCACGCAGAAATCGTCTCCGGCCTGGAGGAAACACTGCAGAATAGAGAAGCGGGCTTGCGAGTGAGCTTGGCCCCATTTTTGGCTGCGAGGATCCCACATCTCAAGGGATACCAGGCCAGCGCGCGCCATCGACAGATAGGCGGCATACAGGACGTCACCAGCCTCGCCGTCCATGTCAACGCTCCCATCACCAAAGCCGAAGATTTTTAGCGCAGAAAACTCGCAGCCAAGGTACATGGCCACAAGCTCAGCTCGGCATTCCTCGTAAGAGGCAGCAAGGCTGCCAAAAACGGAACCCCAGGTCTGGCCGGGCTTGTACCAAGTCGTCACAGGCTTGTTGGTCAGGGGGCTGATGGGAGGGTTCTCCTTGTCGAAGTTGAAGGTACCGGGCGAAGTCTCCTGGAGGAGCTTGCCACATCCATGGCCCGTAAGCTCGTGCAGACCGACCTGGACCTCGAAGGCAGGGTCCCGGTATTTCTGGTAAACAGCAAGATCGGATTCGGATATGAATGGAATCTTCTCGTTCGGGGCCTTGGCGCTGAGAACGTTGCCAAGAGACACGTTCTTGAATCCCTCGCTTTGACGGATGAGATCATAGTTAGGAATGTTGATACCTGCGGGGATTCCGGATCCACTGAAGGTCAGGACTTCCAAAGAAGTGAAATCTGGCGAGAGGAATTTATCCTTTTCAAACTCCTTACCCCAAGGGAGGAGTGGAATCAGAGCCGGGGCAGAATTGACGAGTTCACCAAAAGCCCGAGTTCGGTCCAGGTTGACGACTGCTGCGAACCCCTCCCATTCACCTCGGATGCCAGCTGGGTCTCGGTATGTCTCGATGAAGCCAATGTTCGACTCGACCATGGGGCCCTTGTCACGAATCCACTGCCTCTGGCTCTCCAGGAATGACACCAGAGACCCGTCATGGAAGGACTTGGCGTAGGCGGCATGCATCTTTGCCTGCGTCTCGTTGTCGCTGTTCTCGCCGGCCTTGGCGATATATTCGGAAATAGCCTTCATCTCGGCAGCGTAATCGCCGTAGACAAGCTTGATTGTCTTGCCCTTCAGTAGGCCGTCCTCCACGGTGAACTGAGTGTCCTTGCCAATATCACCGCCCTCGTTAGGGATACTGGTGACAGCCGAGGCAATGAGAAGCTCGAAGTTGCCGTCCTTGGCCTTGCGAAGACGGTTGTTTTCGGGCAACAGACCCTTCTTCTCCATCCATGCCGAGACGGCTTCAATCTCAGACTGCGTGATGTCCGGGGAATCAGGGTAATATGTCGTCAGATGGCCCTTGTCTGGGAAGCCAAGGTGCAGCAGGCCAGGCTTGTCAGCGCTGAAGATGCCGCCATTGGTAGCCTTGTAGAAAGCCTCAGCCTTGGAGCTGGTCTTCGCCAAGGCGGCGAAGGTGCTTTCGTCGCATCTCGGAAGAAACTTGGAGTCGCCGAAGCTCTTATAGTTGCCGCTGTTGCCGAGGAACTGAGCAGCGTACTCGAGGAACTGCGTCAGTTGCGTCTCATTGATTCCAGCCTTCTTGCCGAGGGCCTCCCAGTCGCCGCCAGACGAGTTGTGCAGACTGATAATCAAGTCATAGATGGCCTCCGACTCAGGCGAAACTTGTCTAAGGACAATGCGGTTACCAGCGAGGGATGCTCTGCATCAAGGTCAGTGGTGGTTGGCCTTCACGAAGCTTGGCAGAGCCTCATCCTGAAGCGTTGCGATTCCCGCTCTCTCGTACCTGCTGATAAAGTGAGCATAACGCTTCTGCTTGTCGGTCAGAGGCTCAAAATGCTTCTCAATCTCGAGTCTCACAACGCTGGGAGGGGCGTCAGCCAGGTACTGCGCGAGTTCTTGGGTGTTCATGGTTGCAGTTGTGGTGGAAAATCTCTGCCAGCTGGCTCGTGTGTGAGGGAGACTGATCAGGGGTCTTGTGTGAAGGGATGTGGAAGCTCTCAGGGCTCTCGAAGAGGGTAGCCTGAAAAGCATTGAAGAACGCATGACAGTGACACCGGGAAGGAGGGGTCGGCGGTCACAGCTAAGGTTATTGGCTCTTGCCCAGCTGGATGGATCTGACTGCAGCTCGGTGCGATGCGTGCGGGCAGGTTCAGGCCAACCCAACCGCGTGTAAGCGGGGAAGGACCAGCCATCTTGATGGTCTGAGCGCCGATCATTGGGTCTGCCTTGTACTGAGGCTGAACACTTTTGTCTGACCTGGGTGATGCAGCCCAACAGGAGCCACAGCTCGTGTCATTTCGGACAGCAAGGTGAGGCTTCTCATGTGCTCCAGACTGACATGGGTTTGACATCGGCCACTGAAGAGGCTGTTTCGATTGTCGGCGCACGTGAGCTCGGCCACCCTAGAGGATAGATAGTGTTCCCTTGAGTCACGTGATCTTGACGCGCCACAATGCAAGCTGAATTGGACAATGCCCAACGCGGGGTTGCAGCCACTACCGAGGGCGAGATGTGGATGGCACGACAGCCTACATGAAATGCTTC